TGGGTCTCTTTATGCAGGCAAGAAGAAAGAGTCCAGAGGAAACCAATGGGGTGTGTCACCGGGGTCAAGTCAAGCTCATTTTTAGGCACATGCAGGATCAAGCCCAAACTGGAAGACAATAATTACCATGCAGATTCCCACATTCCGACCAGTGAAACCCCTCAGAAAGCATTGCCCATCATCCTCCACCACTCAGACCCTGCTGAGCTGCTTCCACTTCAGAAAATAAAGCAGCATTTTCCACCACTGCATCTGCTCAGTATTGACACAGTAGACTCTGCCAAATAATACGAACAATAATTATAACTGGAGAGGGCTTCCTGTTATCTTGGCTATAACCATATCCTGAGCTAATAAAACCCCAAACCAATGGTCCTAGTATTAATTTAGCTCAAGCTATAGTTATTATCTCATCAGTAGAAAGCACCTTCCAGTTCTCATCTCAGTGCACAAACTATTGGAGCAAAGACCTTTGCAAAGTGCCCTTGGTTCTACCCCTTTGATCAGAAGGTCTGTGTATCATAAAGCTTCTGGCGATCCAGTGAAAAAAATTATTGCATTTTGCCTATCTCTGCTGCCTGCCCCAAAGGAGCTGGGAAAACATTTGCTAGGTAAATGCAATCTGACTTGTGATGTGTGCAGGGTCACAGCTGCAGGCCTCTAAGGACCCCAGGCCTAATCTTGCCAGGAGTTCCATGTAAGCAGCCCTCCTGTGATTGCACAGAGCCCCATAAGCATCCTCACAACAGTTAGGTATAATATACAAAAATTACAGGTATTAATTCCATAAGCCACCCACATATAAAACTACTGAATGCTAAAAATATACTGCAAACTGCAACAAAGTTGTCAAGGATAAGTAATAAGCAAAGCAAAAGGGAGCAAAACCAAAACACATGGCAATACTTGTTTTTAAAGTGGAGGTGAAAGCAAATACATGCCTGTTAAGCATCCCTGCTTTAAACAGTGTAAAATTCTGGCTTTAGAGAACCACTAAGGGAGCCATAGATGAAATTCACGCTAGGGCACAATGCCTGGCCCCTAATTAAGTCCAGTTTTAAGCCCTCTTAACTGAAGGCTTGAGTGGGTCACAAGTGGTATACAGGCCTGCTTGCTCTTTTCACAGGGGGAAATTTTACTCAGTTTAACTCTTGCAAATGATCTTGAGTATGCAGAAGGGGAGTTGGATGAGAGGCCATCATCTCTCTGGGTTAGATTCATATGGCCGGATCCTCAACTGGCTTGAAGCAGTGAAGCCAGTGGATTTGTGCTGATTCACAATGGGTGAGAAACCGGGCATGTGATTTTTAAAGACCACTCCCCATAGTTTCTGTTCTGAGCCCAGTATATTTTCCAGTCTAGGTTAAGACTAAAGTAACCCAAATCAAGCACTGGAGGTCAGCTGGAGTTCACTTTCTATTTTGATTCTATGTGGTCTGTTTTGTTTCCTTCCTTTTACCTACTAGTTTTAAAAGATTAAAAAAAAAACCCTCATAAATAAGAAAGGCCAGTGCACTGGGAACGTGATGGGCAAAATCCTGCCCTAATGAAATCAGTAGCAATACTGTTGCCAACTTTAGTGGGACCTTACCCTATGATTTCTTTTTTAACTAGAGTGGACATTACTGTTCAGAAGAACTGGTACATGTACCAGCTGCTTAATACACTTAAGCATAGTATTCACCTTTGCCTTCAGAACTGTACAGGTCTTTGTGCAGATGGTGTGTGTTATACTTTGCTTACATAAAGATATATTGGAATGATTTGATAACAGTTTCAGTGTAATATTTTTTACCAGGGCACATCATTGTAAAAAGCCTGTATTATTCAAACCTGTATTGTTAGAAGAGACACCTTATCAAATATTTTGTCCTTTTTTTTGCTGCTGGTGGTTGTGGGGGGGTATGTTTGTGTTAACAACAGTGATCAATTTACATGACAGGAATCTAACAATAGGAGTATAAGGGCTGCCACATACATCACAGCGCTGATCCAACACATCTGCTGTTGTGCTTTTGTTGGTGGCCTAAACATACTTGATGTTCCAGGGGAAGGCTACAGAGAGTTTGTGATATGCAGACTATAATTTATGGAAGGATGGACCAGAACCACACCATCTCCTTTTGAGAGGATAAAAACACATTCCATGTTCAAGTAAAAATGTTTCCATCCACACCCCTGGATGTGACAAGGAACTCGGAAGAATTCTCATGACTAGGAGGAAGGAAATAGTATTCATTAACACCCCTCACCCTGCAAATGCAACCCAACCCTCAACCTATTCTAATGCAAAATTAATCTAAATTCCACAGGCTCCCTTGTACCAGCTGTTTCAGATTGAATGTTTCAATCAAATTTGCCCATTTTAAGGACAGGGGTGTCTCCCTATGATGCAGAGATTGGATGTGTGACCCTCCCTGCTGTAGTGCTATTGCAGTTTGGTTCCAAACAATCCTCCTTTATTCTGAAGGCACAGTAACTTACAACTCATACTAAAAGCTTATGTGTGTCACCACCAGGTTTGATAAGAATCCTGTATTTTGGCTCCCACAAGGTTGAAGTCTATTCTTCCTGTATAATATTTCACAGTTAGAGAAGGTGCCGTGTGCTTTCCCAGAAAGAGCACTTAATGAAAAATATCGAGAAAGGACAAATCCCAAAGGAAGGAAGGTAAGAATTGTGTTCATACTGCCCTATGGGCCTACTTCATTAGTCCATCCTCATACCAAGGGCATGGAGATCTTCAAAAGGAGGCTGGACACACACCTTGCTGGGGTTTATTTGACCCCAGCAGTCTTTCCTGCCCAGAGCAGGGGGGCTGGACCCAATAATCTCATTAGGTCCCTCCCAGCCCTAAACATCTGTGAATCTGTGAGCAAGACTTGAAGTGAAATGCACCAACTCTGGGGACCTGGAGGGAGCCATCATACAGCTGAGGTCAGAAATTAATCTGATCTTGGTTTGCCCCACCTTGCAGTGGACTTAAGAAAATCACTGCATAACCCAACCTGATTAGTCGTCTCTGCCTCTGATAGACTCAAGAACAGGAATAGCCAACTGTGGGATGCAGGTCAGGCCTACGGTAAACTGGACTAGCTGTGGAGGTGGTCCAAGTCTGGAATAGAAAAGAACTGACCTGGCTCAGAACAGAAATATGCCAGCAGTATTACCATACATGAGGCCCCAAATCTGTGACATGGATGAGGATTCGGGGGCAGTGACACTGCTGGGAAGCATGGAGCCCAGGACTGGAAGAGCAGGGAGCAATGCAATTCTGGTCCAGCTGAGATGCAGGGCAGAGCACCTGTTCACCTCCAGGCATTTCTAACAGCATCTGGCTGCCACAAGCACCCCGTGAGATTAGCACTGAAAAAGAAAAGCTGGCTGAACCAGAGACACTTTTTATTTCCTTCTAAAAAGGCAAAACCTGTCCTTACAGTTCCTCATTCAACAGCAAGTTTCTTTTCTAAAACAGACCCAAATGTCCGGCAGAGGGCGCCTCCAGGAGGTATTTAAAGAGAAACATTGTTTCATTTCATTTCAACACTCCAGACAGTTCCAGCACTAACTGTGGCCCCTTTTTTACCGACACAATTTAATAATGAATATCCTTCTTTGCTTTGCAGGCTCTCGTTCCACAGATCCACTGTACGTCTTCTAATCGGTGCAAGTTGCAAAGGGGAAAAAAATAGCAATGGCTACATAAAACCCACATATTCTTCAGAACCAGGGAAGAAAAGATTGGAATAATATTTATTTCTGTTGCCTCTAAAACAATCCCCTTTGTTTCTTTCCGAGTTCAAACTATTTTTTAGCCACACATTTTAAACCACCCAGACTCATCCTAGCCATCAATAGGCAGATCGGTAACTTTAGATCATCAAGAAAGCTGGTTCATTTAGGACACTTCAACTAATATTAGATATTCTTCTCCGATAAGTTTTATCAGCCTCACTATCCAGATAAAAGTATTGTTCCCCCCATTCCTCTCTCCTTCCCAGACATTCAAATCCTCCCTTGCTACAAATCAATCGCCAGGGCATGACTGAATGGAATGAAATAAAATAAAATAAAATAAAGCCGGCTGGATTTCTCTCTAGTTTATGTAATGCTCTTTAATCAATTCCAAACCAGAAAGGGTGACAGAAGGGGAAGGAAATAAATACAACGCTAGGTGATTTAAATGAAGCCAGATTTTTTTTTCTTTTCCTTTCTTTTCACATGTATCCTAAATATGTTTACGGGTGTATTTTTTTTTAAACACTGGGGAAACTAAGTGAGTTGACTTTTCATTTTCGCTGCAACCCCCACCCACCCCCACCCTGGGGTTGATTTAACTGGAAACTGAAAGAACTGACAGCCTGGTGCAAGAAATCCCCCCCCCTTCCCCCCCTTGACATTTATACCTACAGCCACACACAGGATTTTTTTAACCCTGAAAAAAAAATCAAGTTGATCAGCAAAACAGCCAGGAAAAAAATCATCATCATAATAATAATAAAAGAAAAGCAAACGCCTCTTGGAGATTATGTGAAAGGAACGGGGTGTTCAGTGCTGGGAATTAAACTACATTTCACACACGCAGCGCAGAGGAGACACACACAGAGCAATCGCAGGGCAATCTTAGTCTCTATTTCATTGTTCTGCTCGGCTGAGAAATGGACTTTTCCACCCGTTCCCTTCCCCACCAAGGACCGAGATGGGCGAAAGAAAGAAGCAGGGACAGAGACACCCCATGAAAGAGGGGTCAGGAGATACATAGATTTTTTTTTTCATCATATGGGGAGGGGAAAGGGGAGCAAATCTCACCCATCGGCAGGGCTCTTTGGGGCTTAAAAAAAGCAGGGCCAGACAGACAGCTCCTGCTCTGGGATCTGTGGTCATTTGGGGGTGGCTGGGTTTTTTTTGTGTTTTTTTTTCCTGGTGAGAGGTGGCTGGAAAGAGATGTCCAAAGGACAGAGCTGGGGGTGGAGGGAGGCGGAGGGCACGCGAGCCCTTACCTTCGTACATGGGGGCCATCGGTGCGAGGATGTCTGTAATGCATGGCAACCACACCGGCGATGAAGCGAGATCGCAGCCCCCCAAACTCAGTACCCATCTGCCATCTTGAGCCTGTGTCTCTCCGTAGAGCCGAAGCTGCCAGCCTCCTGCATCACTGCCTCACTTCAGCGCGGGGGCCGGCAGAAA